TTTTTTTTTAAACAAGAATAACTTGGGGTAAAGAGATGAAGAATTGTTAGCATGGTAGTGTTATGATTTGAACCTTAATTATTATCGAGATATTAAGTATATCTAACACCTATCTTATGAGACCTAATGCATATGCATCTTTACATACAAGTTTAAGCAAAAAAGCAAAATACAAAACAAAAGGAAAAAAATTAAGTACAAGATACCCCGTAAACGTAGAAAAGATGTTGCCTTTTTAAGGATGTTCCAAATGTTTCTATGACATGCAAGTTTTGGACAAACAAAAACGAAACAATTAGAAAGAGAAAGTGTCCAAAAGACTCGCCGTATTACCCAAAGAATACATGAAAATACATGTAATTCGTGTAACAACTCCCTTGTGCTTCCAAATTAGGCAGTCTGATTTTAGTTGCAGATGACATTCCTCACTATACAGATCTCAGTTACTCAATATTAAAGAAGAAACATACAGGAACATTACCAGCCCTATGGCTGACTTTTTAATCGGATGCTAAAACTATTTTCCAGGTCCTTCTTGCCAGCAACTGGGATAGTTGGAGCAATGCTTCCTTTCTGCATCATGGCCACAAACTCGTTGTAATCTATGTACCCGTCCTGCAAAATTTTGCAGAATTGGGTTAACATGTAATGAGCAAGGTTAACCTTTTCCATGACAGTGCTATGCTTTAATTGTTGTGCAATGAATCTACTTACATTGTCCTGATCTACTTCTCTAATCATATCTTCTAGGGGAACATCTTTTATGCCAAACTCCTCACAAGCTTGTTGAAGCTCATCTGGAGTAATATAACCACTACCATCCTTATCAAAGTAGTTAAAAGCAGCAAATAGACGGTCTTCTCGGTCTATCTTGTTTAGGTGCAATGTGGCAGCTATGAATTCTCCATAATCAATTGTTCCACTATTATCTATGTCAGCCTGCAATTTAAGCAGAAGCAGTGCACCAGAGACAAATAATCAAAAATTCATTCTCCACCAATTTTATACTTCATGTGGCAACAAAAGGATCTCCCAGAAATAAAGAAATGTACATTTCAATACATGTCCATAGCAAATATCCAAAAATAGAGAATGAAAGGTTTGCTTCTTTGACATGCCTTAGTCATTTTAGAACTGAATAGATTTCAATGTCTAATACTTACCGCATGCATTAGGTCATAGATTTCAGACTCCTTAAGATTGGCTCCAACTCTTTTCAATCCTGCTTTAAGTTCTTCAAAAGTGATCTGACCACTGTTGTCAGTGTCTATCATCTTGAACAATTCTTTAAGTCCAGCTATTTCATCTTCAGATAGGCTCTCTGCAATAACCTGAAAAGGAAAGAATGAGAAAAATCAATGAAAATCTAAAAACAGAATTTCTGAGTAAATGGAACATTAGAGCTGAATTTATAGCTTTCCTATTTTCTAAAAGTTTCAGTCCCTCCAATTACAAATCAAACACCTAAACACTTGGTCCTTCCTCTTTTATTCTTCATCAGTCCATCTTTTTATCATATCAAGCATATTCAGAGGCTTACTATAAGTGCCATTTTCTTGAGCTTGTTCATTGCAGAAAATTGCTTCATACGGCTTATAACTGCAGAATCAAGAGGCTTGTCAGGAGCTACACCATCTATTTGTACCCAAGGATGGCCTGCAAGGAATTTTAGTGATGTTAGCACTAATAGAAAATGCCCTACCTTTTTTGGGCCACCAAAAAAAGGAAAAAAAAAAAAGAAAAAGAAAAAAGAAAAGACTCTGATTGAGACCATATTGTAATTTGCTAGTACATTTGTTTTTAGCATTATTTTGCCTCAACAGAAGAGCAGCTCTTGAGGATCTGATATTGTATTTATGCAACATCTAGTTTCTGTTTTTTGATGGATAAAAGGCACATGGCATTATCAACACTGAGATATAGCATCTCAACTCTTGAACAAGCTCACTCTTCAAGGGAACTTTCAAGACAAAAAAGGAAAATATTATGACATGAGTTCTCCAGTGTGGTGCAATTTATAGTTGCCTACAGAAACTCCATTAAGGTCATGTTGTTCAACCAACAAGGTTTCAACATAGTCATACCCTAACAATAAATCATGAAATCCTTCATACAACAACCAATGTAAATATTTCATCAATAATCTTCTCTTTAATATGTAAAATACTCACATAAAACTTCATATGCAGTTAGTCGCCTTCTGGGGTCTCGGACAAGCATTTTCCTGACTAAGTCCTTTGCACCTTCAGAGATGCTAGGCCAAGGATCTGAATCGAAGTCAAGTTCACCGTGCAGGACCTGCTCAAATATACCTTGCTCGCTTTCTGCAGAATCATGAAAAAGAAGAGATGAGGAACAAAGAGGGTGCTGAAAAAGTGATTGCATTACTTTATGTTACAAACATTTTCAGACATGATTACATAAATAAGCATACTGATTACTTCATATACAAACAAAGTTTCTTACCAGCCCAAAATGGTGGCACTCCACTTAACAGGATATAGAGAATTACTCCAGCACTCCAGACATCTGCTTCTTGACCATAGCGTTTTCGCAAAACTTCTGGAGCAACATAATATGGGCTTCCAACCACATCAGTAAATCTTTCACCTAGAAAGAGAAAACCAACAAAATGATTTTAAGATTCACCATGAAATCCCCCAATAAATTAAGAAAGTTATCAAGTGAACAATTTTAGCCCCTTTGAGAAAGCAATAGCAAACAGTATATACCTGGCTTAAAAAATACTGACAATCCAAAATCAATTGTCTTGAGAAGTGAATCCTCTTGCTGATTGACAAAAAGAAAGTTCTCAGGCTTAAGATCTCGATGCATAACCCCAAGAGAATGACAAGCCTCCACAACACCGACTATGGTTCTTGTGAGCTCAGCTGCCTTTCTTTCAGTGTAATGCCCACGTTGGATAATCCTATCAAAAAGTTCTCCACCAGAGCATAATTCCATAACAACATGAACTGCCACACCATCCTCATAAGCCCCTTTGATGGATATAACATTAGGGTGCCCTGCTAAGTGATGCATAATCTGAATTTCCCTTCTCACATCCTCTACATCCTCCTCAGTTAACAACTTCCTCTTCGCAATTGATTTGCAAGCATACTCTTTTCCAGTAGCCTTCTCCATACACAGAAAAGTCGTCCCAAACTGCCCTTGTCCTAGTTTCTTCCCCAGTGTATAAAATTCCTTAAAATTACCTGTCCTGGTTTGCAACACTGACTCAGCCCTTAGCCCTGCACTAGATACCCTCTTCATATGAGGGGACTTGGGTGTCTCTGGTTTTTCAGACTTGGGTGTCTCTGGTTTTTCAGGCTTAGGTTCTGGTTTCTTCTCTGGTTTAGTCTCTGGTTTAGCCTCTGGTTCAGCCTCTGGTTTAGGTATTGTCACTGGTTCTGGAGGTTGGCGTTGGACAGGCAATGGTGATTCAGGCTCCTTTGGTGTTGGCTCTCTATTAGCATTAGAAACAGAACCTTCCGGAGAGTGGGACCGCCACACAATGGCAGAAACCGTTTGCATGATCCCATTTTTGGAAATGCTTGGTCCTACACAAGTATTACCCATCTAATCCACACCTGGTTTACACTTGTAGATACCTTGACAACTTTGACCATCAAATTTCCAATCCCCAATAGATCTGATCTCCCTAATCAAACTCCTAAAGTCAAACACTATATCATCCTTCAGATTTTGTATAAACATCAAATGAAAACTGAAATTCTGATATCTATAACTAAAGAAGAATAGTGATTCGGATTTAATCTACTCAAAAACACGTAACAAAAATTAGGAATCCCACAAGTCAACATGCTTCTTGATTTAGAAAACACATACAATAGAATCCACAAAGAACCTTGGATCTCAAAGCCAGCAAACAGAAAGCTGGAAATTACAAAAGCAATAAATAAATTTCAAGCAAAAGAAATGAACTAAAGCTCACCAGAATCCAACACTTCAGCTCAGAATAATTAAACAGAATCCCAGAAAAGAGAACAGGTACATAACAGCATAAATGGGGGAAAAAGTAAGATCATGATCAATGTTGGGTTCTGGGTGGGAATGAGAAGTAGAAAGGAGGAAGAGAAATGGGGAAAGGGGAAAAGGTAGTGGGGGCGCCTGGAAGTCGTGGGCTTTGATCATATCCAAGGAAGGTAGTATTTTATTTTGTTCAAACAGACCCCCAGACCGAATTTAATTAGCTTGCAAGGACACGGCGAAAAACGCGTTTGGAGGGTGTTTTGTCCGGATTGATTTTATTTTATTTTTTTTGTCCCGGGCTTATCGGTCGACGACTGTATCTGTATTTAGGGCAGGCTTTTGGAGACTTCTTCCTCTTTTGGGTCCCATCTCATGGCTTACTTGGGCGGCCGTATCCAATCCAAACATCACCAGGGACAAAAACAATTCAAAATAAAAGATTAATTATCTACTATGGGTTGATCCAAATAGAAAAAATTTAATTTTTTTAAGTAAGATTTAAAATTTAAGTTTTATGAATGGAGAAATAAATATTGGGAAAGATTTCCTTAATAACATTCGATGTGACTTGATTTTAAATTAGTCGAGATCTAATGTGGTTATTGAAAATTAAGAAATTAATATTAAAAAAAAAACTCCCATTTTTGTTAAAAGTTTTGATCTTTTTATATACCAGACAGAATATTTTGGCTGAAGACCCTGAATCACTGTAAATTGTAAACAATGGTGTGCATGGTTATTGCCGCACATACTTGTATTAAAACCACACAATTTGTTAATATTGTTGGCAAAAAGACAAAGTTTTGTTTGATACAGCTATTATGAATAGCTGATGTTATTACTCTTTAACGGATCAAAATCAGTTTATATATAGATGACCACTAATTGCAAAATGATAAAATGTTAGTTAAATCAAATAAATATAGTATAATTATGCCATCGAGAGGTGATTTAATACGGCATGATATTTCAAGTTAAATATTATAAATTTATACCTTAAATTGGGTAAAAATATTAAGAAAAAATGAGAGTTATTTTTTTTATAGTTTATTATCAAATTTATAAAAAAATAGTATAATTTATGTAATCTAACACAGTATTATATTATCATAATCATACTCCTAAAATTTTGTCAAAAGTGGTTAGGTCAGGTGGATGGTCAAATCCCAAACATGTAACATGATATTAACGACCAATAAAAATTATTTTAATTACAAAGAGTGCCTCCTTTATTTAATAGTCTAAAATTTTAAAGGTTAAAACTTCATTTTGGTTTTTAAACTATTGTACGGACCTTGATTTGGTCCCTAAACTTAAAAAATATCTGATTTGGTCTCTACTGATTACTATTTGTACCTTGATTTGGTTATTCCATTAAAAATTTGCCTACACGTTCTGTTATTTGACGTGACAAAGATGACATGTAAAATTATTATTATTATTTGTTTTTGATAGAAAGACATGTAAAATTGTTTTAACACGTAGGATGTATAACATGGCAAAAATAATGATATGGTAAGAAAACACCTTAAAAAATTTCCTTCTCTTGTTTTTTTCTTTGTTTTTTCTTTTTGCTGGGTTCTTCCTCTTCCTTTCCTTTCTGCTACTGTAAACCTTAACACCTGAAACCACCTTTTATTTTCCTCACCAAATCAATTCATCTTCTTCCCCTTAATTTTCCTCACCTCTTTCTCTTCCAGATCTGGTTGTTCATCGCCCATTGCTTGCGTGCCTAACAGATCCACGACCACTACAAATCAAATCTCAAAATCTACCCCAATCCACTAGAATATGGCTCTTTTATGTAAGGGCAACAAAAACGATTGTTAAAAACTTCTTCAAGGATATGGAGAAAGTACTAAATTAATACCCAAAAAATAAAAAGATGAAAAATAAAACTTTTTAAAGCTTTGTTTGTTTCTTGAGAAAACAGAGGGAAAATAGGTACAAAAAGGAGACATGCACAAAACCTAAGGGGAGAAGACGATGAAAGATTCAACAGCAAAGAATGGTGAATTTGAGGAAAACTCAAGCTAAGACTCAAACCCAGATCTTCTTTATCAACCATGATGTTTTCTCTCTCACCAAACAAGATTCAAGAAACAAAGTTTGTTTCAAGATTTCAAATTTAAGTGGAAAAAAAAAAAGAGACAAGTTGCTGGGTTCTTCCAAACCCAACAGTTGTTGGGTTTTTTCGAACCCAATGGCTGCTGCAAACCTAGCGGCCATTGAGTTCAAAGGAACCCAACAAAGTTTTCGAACCCAGCAACACCTGCTAGGTTCGAAGTTCTTGGCTCTGCTTCCTTGCTTTGCCTTGGGAATCTCAAATAGTTGAGAAAAGTATAAGGGTTTGCAGAAGGCAAAGGAAAGGAGGAGGAAAGAGAACCAAATCTGGTGTTGGGGAAGGGAGAGAGAAAATGTAAGGATTTAGATTTTAGAGGTTGAAGATAAGGGTAATATAGTCATTTTATTATGTTTAGAGTTTATTTAGATAATTTTTTTTACCAAGTCATGTATTTTGCCACGTTATAATTCCACACGTTTTATTTATTAAAAAGACATGTCTCTACTGTTAGTTAACATGCCGTGTCAATAAGAATTTAACGAAAAGACCAAGTTGGGATAAAAATGGTAAACAGTAAGGACCAAATCAGGAATTTTTTAAGTTTAGGGACCAAATTAAGGGTCCGTACAATAATTCAGGGACCAAAATTGGGTCTTAACCATTTTTAAATTAAAGATTTTATTTCAAATCTTAAATTAGATAAAAAGAAATTTAGAAAAATTGAGAGTTATTCTCTTTTATATAATTTATCATCTATATATATATAAGTAAAATTTAGAAAAATTGAGAGGTATTCTCTTTTATGTAATTTGTTATACAGAGGGAAAGGGAAAATTTTCTTCTTGTTTTTATCTTTTGGAGTCCACAATTCTGTTGATATCTGTCGCTCTTTAGGAAATACAGATTCTTCACGAATAGAGAGGTGTTAAAGAATGGACATCCAACCCAACTCTTGAAATAGGAGTTCAGGCATTTCAAGAGTACTTGAGTAATTACGTATAACATTACCAGATTGCAGATATAGTATTGGGAGAAAGGGAATGGTGTATGTACCTTTAGCAATAATTGGTACTGATAGTTGTAGATACGGCCTTCTAGGTATAGAATCCTTGCCTCTGTTCCTAGAGTCATTACTGCAACATATTGAGGTTGTTCTTCGAAGGATTCAAACTAACTAGTGGCATAACCTCAGTATACTACTTCTCCAGCAGTAGTTGCAAGAGCCATAGCCACGAGCATCTCTTAAGCCTGTGTTTTAGTAGTGGCTAATTCTGGCTTGCGGCAACTGGTATAGCTGTGATTGTGATTCTTTACGAAGTAACTCCTCCCTTCGATTGGCATGTTGAGCTTGCAGGTGTTGATAATTTCTCTTGGTACCTAGCATCTCAATCTTCCTCTGAAGTAGGGAACACACTGAAGCATTAATGTCTTGCATTGAAATGATAACTCTTCAAATGAAGAAGTTTAATAGGTCAAGCATTCAAGAAGCCAAGGCAAAATAGTAGCCAACTATTTCAGATCTAGATATACTTTCTATGATGTTCATTTTTTTTTAGGTAAATGGTTCAATGGTTTTCGATAACCTTTCAATAATTAATTTAGTAGATACAGATCCCATTACCAGCAGCTTCTTCCCTCCCCTTGTTCTCCCTGAAAGGAAATGATAAATAGAAACCTTTCCCGTTTCTTCAATGCGTTTCAACCATCCAAATGCAGCAACACTAGGCGCACATACAGAGACATACAAAGGGAACAAGGTGTTAACTTGTAACTTATTATTTCAAAAAAATACTACTAACCTCCTGTGCCAAGTAGTCTTTGCATCTCCTACATCACTCTGTTCTTGCACTAGCTACATAATTTCATCATGGAATTTTCATTCAAGACCTTCAAAAGTTGATGGTGATGGACTATCCCCATAGCTGATTCCCATGTCTTGTTCCTAAGCTTGCACTGTAGATTCTTTATTGGTTGGATTATCCGAAGAGTTTGGTGTCTGCCCTTGATGATAGGACCTTGTACCATTGCCCTTCTGCCCTGCAGCAGCTATAGCAAAATTCAAACTTTCTCCAATTAGCTGAACACAAATTTATCCAAAGAGTTTGGTGTCTGCCTGTAATACTTGGTATTTATTCTATTTTATTTTATTACTTTTAAATAATTTTATTTATGCTGTTAAAGGATTTAAATGTAAGGAGATGGAATTAAGGAGTTTAACTATAAAGGAATCAAGAGTGAAAGGGCTAACCAAAGAATTATAAACATTTTTTTACTAAAACCTAAATAGGAAATGGGCTAGGTGTTGGCAGAACTTCTGAAATGCCGCCGCCCACTTCTGCAAATGCTGTTGCCTACTTTTGAAAACAAACAGAAAGGGGCTTTCATCCTGTAGTCAGTAGTCACCGGATTATTTGAATTGAGGGAATTTTAGGGTAAGTTTCTTAATTATATGGTAGTTTTGTTTTTAGATCTAATTTTATAATTAAGAATGTGAATTAGAAAAGCAATTGAGAGAATTTTTGGGACTCTATTTTCTGTCAGATTGGATTCTAACAAAATGGCCCGTGATTTGTAGATCTCTCCAATTCTAACAAAAAAAAAAAAATAGTACAAAAGTTTTAAATGATTTAGGAGGTTATATCAAGTTAAAAATTGATTAATTATTCAAGTAAATTGTTATACCCTCTAATATTCTTTTAAAAGGTTTGTTTTATTAAAATTTATTTTACATTTTTAGCGTATTTTATATAATCTTATTTGGTTACTGTGTTTAAAAAATAAGAATATTTTATAACCAAATGAGATGAATGTTGATCAAGCATTTTAAGTGTGGATTGTTTTCTATCGAAGAGTGTAATTTATTATATTGGAAATAATTTTTCTTTTAATACTAAGTTTTCATGTTTTTGGTTGGCTGGTTAAATTAACCCATTTCTCAGGAGTATACTGAAGGTATTGATAATAGTCCCGAGATCTATTTATTATAGAGTGTGATGCGGAGTGTGATATTATATTTGGAGTGTGATGCAGCCTAAAGAACATGTATTTGTTATTTTTTTTTCATCTGGTTTGGAATGTGGTTTAATCATTGTGGAGTTGTTTACTTTATTTAATTATTATTTTCGTTGAAAAATAATGCTTAATCAAACTAGATGGGTATACTCTTACTGAGCTATCTACCTTATGCTTCAAAATTTCATCTCATTTCAAGGATAGAAGAGTGAGCATTTGGGATTGCATTTGGGAGTGAGAGGCGCAATGGTCCTAGATTAGTTCTTTGGTTTAGTTTAAGTTATTTTTGAATTGTGGAATAATTAGAAATGAAGACCTATTTGCTATGACTTATTGTTATGAGATTTTATGTTGGATTTTATGAAGTAAGGATCAAGTGTTTTGGATTTGACCAACTACTCACATATGTTAATAAAGATGGAGTATCTTATAGAATATAACTTTATTGCATTTAGATATTAAAAATTATTTAGTTGAGATAACCTTACACATTTATGGGATCATCCCTATAGATGTGTGGCGTTTATCATGTCTAGACATTGGGGTTGGGGCGTGACACTGCCATTTATGATAGGACATTGTACCGTTGCCCTGCAGCAGCTGCAGCAAAATTCAAACTTTCTCCAATTAGCTGAACACAAATAGACCGAGTGCCGGCAAGCTGAAGAACAAAAATTACAAAGTTCTGCTGTACTAAGCTTTTATGGAATCATAAAAGGCTACAGCTAGCATGGTGAAATCAAAAAAACCTAGGTGCCCGCCTGTAAGCTTCTTATGGAGGTCCCATATACTTCAAAATTTTAATAGGACAATTAGTAGTACTGTAACAAATGTTATTGTTCACCCAAAGAGAAATCCAAAGTTGCTTTATTCCATATTTAGAAAGCAAGACATTTAGAAATCTTCTCGATTAAAGTGTACTTCCGTTCTCCTGTTTCTTCAATTCAAATCAGGAGGAGCAACTAGGAAGAATTCCGCATGACAAGCTAGAAAACATAAGTGGTAAAATGTCAAATACTCTCGACTTTCAAATTGCTAGCAAAGTGCGACTCCCATCAGTCGAACTCAAAATGCACTATCATAAGCACCAGCACAACAGGAATCTAACAGCAAGTAAATAACAATGAAAATGCAATACAGAGCATACTCATTTCAATATCGATATTTCCACGCATCCATATCTAGGATATATGCACATACTGAAGTCACGCGGTCTAGACTAATTGCAATATTATTTGGGGAAGGAATTTTATTTTTATACTGAAACCTTGATTGAATGAATATGAGGACATTTGGTTCAGTACCTTTGATGCATCTCTATCCCCCTGCCAATGCCCTGCTTACTTCGAAGATTTAGAATGAATATTTTCCCTCCGGAGAAAAACAAAACTCATGAGATGCGATTACCCACCAACATACATTTTCCTTTTCTTCCTTTAAAATACAAAAAGGTTATCAATTTCTCAGTATTGCATAAATATTAAGATTGAACACACTATGCAGCAATTGAAAAGGATTAAACCAGAAGGAAAATCCAACTGATGACAAGTTTACTCATCCCTATAATTAACTTACCATCCTATGTCAAACAAACAATCTTTCTTCTGCTTAAATAATTTGGCACAAGAGCTGGAGCAGTTCATAGTCAAACCACACTCATCATACCAGAAACCTATAATCTAGTAATTCAAATCATGGATTTTTATCTGTAACCTTAACCGGGTCGAGCAAAAGTTCCCAAATTTAATTAACACTATAAGATTTCATTCGTTGGAAAAAGGTGCGAAAATTTAACTACATATGCGACCGAATTGCTTACCTTAATGTACTGTTTAAATTTCTCTTGAGAAACCGATATCTGTGAGCTTGGAGTTTCCGTTGTACAGGCCTTATAGGCCTACATGGTTTTCGAAAGATGCCAGTGTGTTGCACTGTACTAGTAAACACAAAACACTAGATATTAGGTTAAGTTCTCATATTAAAGAGTTTTTTTTTTTTTAATAACAAGCATAAATTTCAAGAGATAAGAAAATTTAAAATCAATATCATACTAATACAAATATAATTTCAAAGCTATAACATGAGAAGCATTTTTAATACAATGGGTAAAATGTCAATTATTTAAGTAATTTAATGTTAATCTTATTCTGTTACAAGTAAGTTATAAGTTTAATTGAGAATGTATTTTTTTTTAAACAAGTAAAATTTAAAAGTAGAAATTAAAAAATTATAACATAGCAATATAATAATTTAAATTGACAATTATTAAAATATTAAATATATTTATCAACTAATTAATAAAACCTGATGCCTAGGCTGCACCAATTTAATAATAATTTTTTTTATGATTGAGTTTGAGACCCACGTTAGGCCGCTTCATCATCCAAGGTCCATAAATACGGTTGAAGCCTGGTGCAGCTTGGACCGAAAAGAAAAGCCAGTCCAGGGTGGAAATTACAGTTTTGCCGTTAATGAATGAAAGCTAACCCGCAGTTTTTTTCCTTGCTTTCCATTCCTTTCCCTCCCTCCTATGTCCTATTTGTAGACCGGAGAATTCATAACCGGAGACCTGAACGCCGATTGATTTCTTCGATTCGCATTTTAACTTCTTTGCTTTTTCTTTTTGATTCAAGAAACTCCCTGTAACTATTTCGACGGAAAAGTAAACAGAAAAAAGGTCCAGTGACGGCATCACCACGTTCTTTCGCCGACGATGGACGGTTAAATTGGACCAAGAAAACTAAGGCTGTGTCGCTTCTACAGGAAACCCGCAAAGATATGGAGGATGTTTTGTGTGCTTGGCCACTGTAATCTTGTTTTCTGCAAGTTTTGATTGTTTAGAGTTATGATTGGAAGGTGTTCGATGAAATTACAAAGAGAAATTCGATTTTAAAGTGCTATGATCTATGGATTACTGAGGAATTTTCATTTTGAGCACCTGATTTTTGGGTGCTAGGATGGAGAAATAGACTTTCTTTTAATGAAGATCGGCCACGTATCTTTGGTTTCCAGGTAAAAGCTTTATTTTAATAGAAACGATGGTGTACTTGTATATATGAAACCAAGTTATGCTTCTAGTTGATTAATTGGTAGTAATAAGATGGCAAGACAGGCTAGGGCTGTTTTTCTTGAAGAATGGTTAAGGACTAATAGTGGCGGCAGTGGTAGTATTGGACCTGTTTCTGGGCATCCGTCGTCTTCTTCATCTGCTCGGGCAATCATTCAAGCATGGTCTGAACTAAGAGAGTCCCTTCAGAATCAGTCATTCCATTCCCATCTTATCCAATCTTTGAAAACCCTTGTTAATTCCCAAAACTCTCTCCATGTTGCTGAACCCCAAGCTAAGCTTCTAATATCCATTCTTTCTTCTCAAACCATTGCTCTTCCAACTGAATCATATCCTCCATTGCTTAGGCTTCTTTATATTTGGGTTAGGAAATCCTTCAGGCCTTCTGCTCAGCTCATTGATTCAGCTGTGGATGTCCTTTCTCGTGTGTTCACCACTGAATTTGCTATGAAGAAGAGTCCTCCTTTCCTTGGTCAAGGTATACTCATTTTAGGGGCCATTTCATTTTCACCACAAGTGTCAGAAAACTCAAAAAAGGTGTGTCTGGATTTGCTTTGTAAGCTGTTGGAAGAAGAACACCCCTTACTCAGGTCAAGCCAAGATATTATTGCTGATGTGCTTGCAGGGATTGGGTATGCATTATCTTCTTCTGTGAATGCTCATTTTGCTAGAGTTTTGGATTCTTTATTTCGAATTTGGGGAAGGGAAGATGACAGTTCTGGTTCAGTTTCTACTGGACTCATGATTCTGCATTTAGTTGAATGGGTTGTGTCTAGTTTCATCGAATCACGTTCCTTGATGAAAATACAAGATTTTTCCAGGTGGGTGTTGGAGACACCAAAGACAAGCTGTGTTCCATTTGCTTTTGTAATGGCTGTAGCTGGGGTATTGAGAGCTTGTAATAGATTTGTCTCAAGTGGTCAGGGGACAGAGATTGTTTCCAAACTAAAGATTTCTGCAGAAAATCAAATAGCATCTCTAGCAGAAGATTTGATTTCTAAAACCAAAGGATTGCTTACTTCGGAATATGATCCTACAAATAGCCTTCTTTTACAGTGTATCTCATTAGCTTTGGCTCGAAGTGGTTCAGCAGCATCTTCAAGGGGCTCTCTGCTTATATGCCTTGCTTCAACCCTGTTGACTGAAATCTTTCCCTTGCGCGATTTATATGCTAAGATTCTTAAATTTCCCCATAGCAGTTGGCCTACATTGGGATTCGGTGAGGTTAAGGAACATTTGGTCAGTGTTGCTTTTAAGGAAGCAGGGTCCATAACTGGTATTTTCTGCAATCAATATGCCTCAGTGGATGAAGAGAGCAAGGCTTTAGTGGAGAGTTTTATATGGGACTACTGTCAAGATGTCTACTTGGGACATCGTCAAGTGGCTTTGTTGCTTCGTGGTCAAAACAATGAGCTACTAGCAGATGTGGAGAAAATTGCCGAATCTGCTTTTCTTATGGTTGTAGTTTTTGCATTGGCTGTTACAAAGCATAAGCTGAATTCAAACTTCTCTGTAGAGATGCAGAGAAAGACATCAGTCCGGATATTAGTTTCTTTCTCTTGCTTAGAGTATTTCCGACGTATGCGTTTGCCAGAATACATGGATGCAATTCGAGGAGTTGTTGCATGTATTCAGGAGAATGAAGAAGCCTGTGTCTCTTTTGTAGAATCAATGCCCTCCTATTCAGACTTGACTAGTTGGAAAGGTACACTTCATAGTCACTTAAATTGGGTGGTGTTATCAAGTTCTAGCATAGTGAACTTTTTGTCTTTTTAATAAAAAATTATTCTTTGTAATCATTGTCTTGTAGGTTTTTCATTCAAGCAGGACACGCAGTATGTATGGTCCAAGGATGAGGTGCAAACTGCTCGAATTTTATTTTATTTGCGGGTAATTCCAACCTGCATTGAACGCTTGCCAGCTCCTGTATTTAGAAGGGTGGTTGCTCCAACTATGTTTCTGTATCCTTTAAATAAATGACCTGTTTTTTTCGCTTATCAGTTATCAATATGTTGTAGTGTAAATGTTGGTTCCTTATGTCAAATGTGATTAGATATATGGAACATCCAAATGCAAAAGTAGCCCGGGCCTCACATTCTATGTTCACAGCATTTGTATCTTCAGGGAAAGACTTCAATGAGGATGAAAGAGGGTTGTTGAAGGAGCAACTTGTCTTCTACTATGTACAAAGATCTTTAGTGGTATCTAAAATTACTCAAAACCATGATAGTCAACCTGAAATATGCTGTTAAATGTTTAAAAATGAGTGAGTTCTCTTTGTCTGAATGTAGGGATATCCTGGCATTACTCCATTTGAGGGTATGGCTTCTGGAGTTGCAGCCTTGGTTCGACATCTACCTGCAGGAAGCCCAGCCACATTTTATTGCATTCACTCTTTTGTTGAAAAAGCTAACATGCTCTGCAATGATGTTTCTTTACTGAAGGCTGATTTGTGGAAGAACTGGCAAGGAAGCTCGGAGCCTTGTAAAAAGGTCCTGGAGTTGCTTTTGCGTCTGATATCTCTTGTAGATATACAGGTAAAGTACTTATCTGCTTGTTCCTCTTCTCTTTGTTTCTTCTTTGCCACTTTAGCTGGAAATCTTCTAACATTCTTAAGAATCAAATTATGTGTTTCCTGTTACCCATTGCATTTTGAAAATCTAAGTTTCTTAGGTTAGATTGTACCAAGACAAATTTGGTTACTGCCGTCAGATGACTGGTAATTGATAATGTTCAGGTACTACCAACCTTGATGAAGCAGTTGGCACAGCTGATTGTTCAGTTACCAAAAGATGGCCAGAACATGGTTCTCAACGAGTTGTATGCCCAGGTTGCTGAATCTGATGATGTTACCCGTAAACCCACCTTAGTTTCTTGGTTGCAGTCAGTATCCTACCTCTGTTCTCGATCTGAAAGCACAGATCAAACCTCTAAACCAAGCGGATGCAAAGAAAACCCAGCATGTCCGGGGATAACAGATCCTTCAAACTTGGGTAAAATAAATGCACGTCTCTGAGAAATTGAGGCTGCAACTTGTCATAGCTGATTTTCTTTTGTTATGTATACTAGACACTTCCTTCTAGTTATGTTTCCTATATTCAAGCCAAAGATGTGTTTTGATGATTCAGAATTGGTTCCAAAAGCAATAAAACATGCCCACCATATTCATCTGTAAAAATATATTGCATGGATTGAGTGTAGACATCATACATCATGTATAACCTCGTCCTAATTTAGTTTTTACAACCTAATTACATACTGGGGAACATAAACCCTAGAAATGACCTTGTGGCTTAGTGGTAATCTCTTTTTCTTTAGACATCAGAAAACGTCTTGGGTTTGAGTTCATATGACATGCCAGCTTTCCTAATGTCTCTCCTTAAATAGATTATAATGAGGACCATGTGCCAGCTGAATTGCCAGGTACCAACAAACGAGTTCCTGAAGCAACAAAAAAGAGCAGGAAGATTACTTAGTAGACAGTTGGAATACCATATTAACATTAGTATGGTCATCATTCAACAAAATTATTGTACCGGGTGAAATGTCACTGGAGGATATTGATCCATCTCCATCCTTCTTGTATCTACTGATGAAGCTGAAGCTTTCCTCGGAGTTGCAGAGACTCTCTGTTCCAGTAATGGAAACAAGCCCCTGCAAATCTTTTTCCCCAACCGTCTCGTTTTTCCCCGCCAATGGTTAATTGTAACTTTTACCAAACCGTGTAAGACGATCGGCAGTGCATCTTGAACGTTCTGTTTGATCGGCAGTCTAACTTCAACCGTCACCGCTCTACTGCAAAACCCCCGCCACCGCATCCAAAAGATGCATTCTTTCATGCCCCCCACCGTCGACGGCCAGCTGCTTAGTATTCCCAGTATGACCCTATCAGAAATCTTGGGGTCTTTTTTCACTAATTCAATAATGCAGCCTATTAATTGTGGGTAGAACATGAGAACCCAATTCGATCGGAAAGAGGAACCAGTAATCGTAACGGAAATTCACCAGAGGCGCCAAACATGTCGTCAATCAGGAACGATCGGAATCTTTCACAATATCTCCCAAGAAAGACAACAGGTACGGATTCCCATTGTGTTTCGCCGAATTTTGATCGTTAAACGACCGGATTATGTTGAACACTCTGTTTCTGATGAACTTCCGATAATCAGTAAATTTTTTTGTATATACAGCTAAACAGAGCTTCCAGAACCGCTCGTTCCCCCTCGTCCTTGGAATGGAACAGACCCAGCAACTTCTCGATGAACGGCTGCTGGATAAAAACCTAGAGGAGCTCGGCCCCATCCTATGCTTCACCACCAATTTGATGAGAAATGCATACGCCGATTCCAGGTGAGGCCATTCTGGATCCTCGAACCATGGAAGCAAAACCTCACGTTTCTTAATGCAAAATCCCACCGGCACCAAATCAATGCAGTCTTAGCAGGAGAATACCCCAAGTGTTCGGAACAGAGTCTTGGACACAAAATCGATGCTTTCAGGGAGGAACTTAGGGGAGGAAAATTGAGATGTGAGGTCTGAAACGGAAGTGTTTTTAGTATTCTTCTTTCCTGGGTCGGTAACGGGGGAACTCCAGCAACTGGTTTTCCGTTTGCTTGGAATCAAAGCAACCATATCGAATACAAATTACCAGGAAGTGAGCAGTGAGAGTGTTGCGGAGACAGGGTTTAATGTTGGGGATTACCAACAAGCTTAGAATTCCTACTCCAGGTCGGATTATGCTTGCAAGATTGTATATATTAACTACTGATTTTGTAATTTATGTTGTTTGAAAAGATTAATCTCCTCCAATGGCGAATCGCAGGACACGAAAGGCCAACAAAATTACCTGGGCACGGCCGTCCCCAGATTTCTTTAGGACGCCTCCGCCGCAACTGCAGGAACAAGACAATCTCGATTATTTCGAAGCATTCCATGCCAAACACCGCAGTGTAATGAAGTCCCTTTTCCAAGATAGAGTGTGGCCCCGTCTGGAACTCGACTACCAGTTCCTGACCAACTACGTTACCGATCGCAGACACAGGATTCAGTTCAGCCGCCCTGTGATTCTGAAGTTGCTGGATATTTTCGGCTCAGAGGATGAGAGGGAGAGGGGTGCAGTTGCTACCCTTTTAAAGGGAATCTACAATCGATTTCCAGAGCATAGAATTTTTATCAGGAAATCAGTCTACAACATATTCTATCAGTTCAATTGTTCTACGGATTCGAAGCACAATGGGCTTCCGGAGCTGTTAACTTTCTTGAAAGGAATTGTCCAGGAACGTGAATCTTTGTATCTCGAAGAGGAGTTCAGGGTTTTTCTTCTCCGGTCGCTAATTCCCCTCTACAAATCGAAGTGGCTCGTTATGTTTTATCCTTTTTTAAGGAACTGCATTGCGGAATTCATTATGAAAGATCGCAAGCTTGCCGACTCTGTTATTCAGCGGATCCTCAAGTACTGGCCAAAACCGGGGAGTTCCAGGGAATACTTTTTCTTGGACGCGGCGGGGTGTTTTCTTGCGGAGGCGAAGACATCGGCCGACTTTAGCAGCTCCATGGTGGCTTTGTTGGAAAAGATTGGTCGGTGCTTGAGTAGTCCGCAGTTCAATGTTGCGGAGAAGGCCCTGTCCCTATTGAATGTCAATGGAGGACTCGGAATCCTGATAAAGAAGAATTTCAAGATTGTACTGCAGATTGTCTATCCGGGGCTGAACGAAGCTGCTGCTAACCATTGGCGGCCGAAAACAAGGAAGTTGGCAGTGAAGATCAGTACGAAATTGAAGACAATTGATCCTGTGTTCTACAACGATGGCTTTGGTGCGGGAAGATAGATGGATCCAATTGGAAGGGAAGGCAGCTGCAATTAAGTTTTGTTTATGTTGATCTGTTTCTATGTTCTGTATCATTATTGAACAGTAGAAGCCTTGTGAGATTTTAAGACTATGGCAGTTTTGATGAAAGAAAATTAGTATAATCGCTTGTATCTATTTCCCACAATATATTGAAATTTTTTGTTTGATTTCGAAAATTCTGCTTGGTTGAATCTAGCTATGAATGCAGTAAATTTTATGTTGATTCTCCTTTTTCATCTTAATTATAGGTACAAAATGGATAGTCAAAGTAACTAAAAAGATTTTAATTGTTCTAGCGATCAAACAATTTTGGGCATAATTTCTTAATCCATTTTGCACCATATTCATGGTTTTGATCCAATTTAATAATCCATTTTATATGTCAATTGTATAAAATCATATAATTTAAAGTAAGAAGAAAATCATATAATTTGATATACATATCACATGATTACGTTTTTTTTTTAAATTTTAAGATTGCTATCATAATATTATATTAATAGTACATTTTAATTATAAGTGTACAATATTTCATGTTGTAATAACTTAATCATTTTTTTAATAATTTACATAAGTTCAATCTGATATCAAACTTCCCCCGTACCCTACACCAGTACACCTGACCTCAGAAGGTTCTTCACGGGATTATCATTGTAACAATCTTGGCTTTCTAGCTGTTGAAGTTGGGGTTCTGACTCTTTTTCTCTCCTACTGCAGAAGAAACCAGGGGGAAAAAGTTCACCTTTTTTTTTTTTTTTAATCACTTCAGCATAAAAATTAAACCTTTCTTTTCAAAATTAAATTTCCTGCATTTCAATCCCTAACCCAGACTGGATTTTATCAGGTGAATTGAAGAAAGAAAGATGAAGGGGAAATTGTTGAAGAAGCTGATATCAATCAAGCCAGTTGGGTACTTCAAGCCAGATCGAGTTCTTCAGGTTACGTATTTGCCTTTGATGGGTTCATTCATTCTTGTCCCAAGACGTCAGATCCAAGAAAAAACCACAGATGGTGCGAAAAGAGCCTCATGAGTAAGAGAAAGTCAGAGAGAACAGGGTGATATATAAATTCAAGAGCCTAAAATCATTGATGTGACAGAGCTTATGAGGGATATCTCTTGAAGAAGAAGAAGAAGAAATCAATGGTTTGGACTTTGGATGAAGATATTAAACAACAACGGGCCAAATGGGGAATGCATATTGATTTGTTTATGTTCGTACAAAATAAAAAGAACCAATCATATTGCCTGAATCTATGACTTTCAATTTAAATGAAATAAAATTGCTTCCGGTGAAAAACTAAGTTACTGGAAAAGACTAACGCATAAATGGTGTAAACCATGGACGCGAAATTTCTCGCAGCCTTGTCATGGCAGCGATCTCGGCAGGAGGAATTGACGAGTGACGACATATTGGACATGTAGGATGGAGCCTTAACCATGGATCAACGCAATCCACATGGAAGATGTGATCGCAGTCAGGTAATAACCGGAGCATATCATCCTCCTTGTACTCCGCCAAGCATATGGAGCAGCTAGACGCCATGGAATCACCCTTGTCGAGTTTGGCTTGAGAATAAAGGAGCTTCGGACAGTAGTTGAGGAGATTAGATTCATCTAGTCCAAGCTCAATAGTGACAGAGTCTTGGTCATCTGAAGAGGAAGTGCTCCGGTGAGATGGATGCAGCAGTGGACGCTTGCAAGTGCAAAGGTAAGACATGATGATGATAATCAAGATTAGGACAAGAATGCCTAGGGAAATTCCGAAGGTAAGAACAAATTTACCTTGGATATTTTCTGAGGAACCAATGGTGGTACTACTATTCATCATATTTTGTTTGATTGAGTGTGATGAAGATTAGTTGATCCATGGAATTGGTGGAGAAAAGGTTCTTAATTTAATGGAAGAATTGGGATTGAGTTTGACAACTTGGGGGAAGAAATTAAGAATTTGAAAGTTGAGAGGTCAGCTAAGGCGGATGCATATAATGGATACCTCATACAAGCAAGTTGAGTTTCCATCTGAAATGGTCAACTTTAGCTATCATTTTCTTATTTTGTTTTCCTATTAGTTAATTAAGAATGAACAATTATTATTTGTGAACAAGTTTTCGACCCACTTTCTATTCATTAATTTTGATTTTGAAATTTTAATTTTGGGTTACCATTTAAATTTTTGTGATACTAAATAAATTAACAAATTTATAAATAAAAATGAATAAAAGAATTTTCATTACATAGAGAGAACTGAAATAATATTTCTTTCAAATAATTTAATGGTATTTTGAAGTGGCTATTATACCTGCCACTAATTTTAATCTACTCTTCGTTTGCCTTTGATCTGAAAACTGTACATATATAAAATCATCTAAAAGTGTACAAACCATTGCATTTTAGAATTTAGAGACCTATGAGTTGTAAATTGGAAAACCCATCAATTTGTACATGATTCAATGTAAAAAGTGTTCAACTTAATTGCAACCTTACATCCTCCTGCGTGGAATATGGCGTTAGTTCGGCCGGAGAGTTGGAAGACTCGGGGACGGTAGCGGTGAATTTCGGCAGACGGGGCAGGTGGGATTCAAGCGCAACCAAGGATCCACGCACTTGAGATGGAAAACATGGCCGCAATTAGGCAGCAGCCGCAGGGTATCTGCGTCTCTGTATTCACCCAGACATATGGAACAGTTTGAGGGGTTGTCGGTTTTGTGGAGCTTTGCCTGGGAATAGAGAAGTTTGGGGAAGCTTCGGAGTGTCTCCTCGTTGAGGCCGCTTTCTATGGTAATGGAAACATCCTCAGCGGCAGTCGTCCTGGCAGAGGTGGAAGTCTGGTGAGATGGGTGGTGGCGGTCAGGGGAGCAGTATTTGCAGAAGAGGAGGGACATAGTTATGAGAAGGATAACCATGAAGACTCCAATTCCGTTCACGATACTGCCGTAGTCCATGCCGTTACTCATCCCCCAAAAGGGAGAGGAAAGATTTAAGCTTCACCGAATCACAATTGCAGGTTTAACATGAGCAAGAAATATTGAAAGAAATAGGGAAGGTGGTACTCTTTTTTTTCTCCTTTTTTTTTTTGTTTTTGTTTTTTTGAGATCTTAGGGAAGGTGGTACTTAAGAGTTGCTATCTGGGGACAAATTAACTCCATAATATTTTTCTAATTGGAAATTCCAGTTAAAATTATCCAAGTTAATGACAAATCATCAACTGTTAAGCATGGTTATCCATCCGAAGACAAAATATTTTTTTTTCTTGTTCTCATTCGCATCAAAAGAATAATCTTTTTGTTGAACTTTGTTTTTATTTTTTTACCATATATTTGATACTAGTTTTTGTTATACTTATATTGATGTCAATTCTTATTCATTTTTTTAGCAATATATTTTTATGCAACTAAAGAATAATTTGTGGGCAAATAAAACAAAACTTTCTGAAGCATTGATTTAAGCATGAGTCCTTTATTAATGACCCATTTTAATTTGATTAAGAAATAAAAACTGAAAGTCAAAATTAATTTTATTTTCAACATAAATACAATATTTTATAATTTAGAATATGACATTTTATATTTTAAAATATAATATTTTACAATTTAAACAATAAAACACTACTATATTCTTGTTTTTTTAGTATTATCCTTTCGATATATGGGAACCACATTAAATGTTAATTAATTCATAATTTAATAACTTCGGATCCTATAAAAATAAAGTTTTTTTAATACTTACTTTTTTGTTCAAAATAAATTTAAAATTTTATCTAAAAAAATCAAATTCTTTTCATTTAAAACAACAAATGGTTGACGATACACTACCTTATTGGCCGCACTAAAAGGAGTGGTGTCAGTTGCAAGCTTAAGTTCAGGGAGCATTGAATCGTTGACAAAAACAATTGGCAGGCGGCCGTGAAATTCGACAGGCGTGGCAGCCGGTAATATGAGTGCGGGTTTTGGTGCTCGCTTATTATAAGACTTAAAAACCCTTGCTAAAACCCACTGGGGTTGGTCGGGTGACGGCAGGGGATGGCCGTGGTCTCGCCGGCTCTCCGTTTTGGGGCCAATTTTAAACTCTTTTCTTGTTTCTGCCTTTGGGCGAAATATATTTATCTTTCTTAGGCCCATACCAAATAAGATGTCTTTCTTTTCTCATTTTTAATTTAATGAAATATAATTTTTTTTAAAATACATCAATTTTTGCACCTTGATCTTGCCCAAAACACAAAGTCTGTCCCGGGAAAAGATTAATAGCCACTATCCAAAAAACGAAAAAAAAAAAAAGAGATTAATACCAAAAAAAAAAAGAGAGAGATAAAAATCGAAGATGGAAGCAAAATTCACTTTAAGTGGGTATTTGGTTGGAAATTTTTTTTAAAAAATTTTAATTTTTTTTCTCTTTATTCTCTTTATAAAATTATTTATATATTTTTATATATTAATATTACAACAAAAAAGAATAAAAATAACATATTGAGTATTCATTTTTTTTGACACAATTTTGAATTAGTGAAGTTTTCTTTCCACTTATTTTGAAAGGGAAAAATTTTCTTATAACTTATTCTATATCTGGTGCACCTAACAATTTTTTTTATATCAATTTTTTACTAAATATAATAAAATTAATAATCCAACAAAATTTTAATAAAATTTCTTTATATAAGATTTAACAATTTTACATACGGTACTTTATATTTATTATATAATATTTTTTTAATCACTTTTTTAATAAAAAAACTTTTTTAATAAAATGATTCTCTAATCGAATAAGAATTTTAAAGGAACCAATAAAAGAATTGTAAAACATAAATATTTAAATATAAAAGAATTTCTAATATTAAGATGAGCCATTTAAGAATTTATATTTTATAATTTAATATAATTTAAACCGTAAAATACTTTTTACATATTCTATATATATATGAATTAGCAAATCTACCAATAAGAGTCCATGCTTACTTATTGAAAATATTATGAAAATGCATTTTTACTTTTATAAAAGCTATTTTTAACTTTTAGAGAGTTGGATAAAAAAAAAAAAATTAAAATGTTAAAAATTTTGCTGAACTTATGAATTTCATAATTTTATATATTTTTAAAGAATTTATAATTATTTTAACAAAAATTTATAATTCTACACTTTTTTTAAATTGTTTTTATTTTCAAACATTTTCCATTTGACCACAACCCCGTGCAAGCTTTAAAGGAAAAAATTGTTTTTTCAAGAAAAGTTGGTACTTCATCTCCACGTCAAGCACAGTTTATTTCTATACTTAAAAAAAAGAAGAAGTTAAATATCAATTCTAGTTCGTTCAATTTTAAAGTATTATATAATTTTAATTTTTTTATTTTTTATGTATTCTTTTAGTTTCTTAATTATGAAATATTTTTTTTTAGTTTTTTTATTAATTAATTTGTTAAATTTATCTAAATATATATTTTCAATCCTTTAACTTTAAGTTGAGAAATGAAAAAATTTATATATTAAAAATTGAGAGATTAAAAATACATAAATTTAAATAAATTTAATGAATTAACTAACAAAATAACTAAAAAATATATTTTTTTCATAGTTATTGACTAAAAATATATATATAAAATTAAAAAATAAAAATTATATAAAATTTTAAAGTTGACATTTAACTTAAAAAGAAAAAAAAAAAGAATATATTTTTGGATAGGGAGAAAAATGAAGTAGTAGGAGTACTACGAAATGTACAACAGAAAACACAAAAAAACAAAAGACAGTCTGATTAAAGATCCAACATTCATGTCCTATATATGTCCCCACCACTTCTCTTGTCTCCATCTCCAGTCTGTCCCTTTTCCCTCGCTGCAAATTCCTTCCCTCCCCTTCCCCCTTCATCATTACTATGATTCTGCAATCCCCATTTTAAGTTCATCCCTTTTATCTCTCCATTAATCCCATTGTTAACAGTAATCTAGAGACCTCCAAATTTAGCAAAATAGAATCCATAAACCCTTGATTTTCTGTTTCCACCTTTACTTTGTCACCGAAGAATCGTAGCTTACAGATTCAATTACAACAATGTTATCATCGTCTTCCCCATATGTGTATTCCTTTGCCCTTTTCCTTTCTTTGTTTTTGCTTTTTACTCTTGCTCCCCAATTCCTTCCTCCCAGAGAACAGCAATCCCCTGTTCCTCTTCAGGACGAGCTCGACGATCTACACCTCTTCCACCAAGCCACCGTCGCTTCCTCTGGGAAGATTTCCCATCTGGGTTTTACCAATCCCAAACCCAAAATCGCCTTTCTCTTCCTTACCAACTCCGATCTCGTTTTCGCCCCTTTGTGGGAACTGTTTTTCCAAGGTCACTATCAATTCTACAACATCTACATCCACGCTGATCCCTCCTCCAAGGTGTCTCCTCCGAATTGGGCAATTTCTGCCAATTTCATCCCCGCCATCAAAACAGAACGAGCCTCCCCAAGCCTAATCTCCGCCGCTCGTCGCCTCTTCGCTCGCGCCATCATTGACGATCCATTAAACCTCTACTTCGCCCTGGTGTCCCAACATTGTATCCCACTCCATTCCTTTCAATACATTTACAAATCCTTAATCGGGAATCCGGCCACCGCAGTCAGAGCGTTTCTAACCCAGCCGTCTCACCCGAGCTTCATCGAAATCTTGTCCGATGAACCAACTCTAGAGAGCCGCTACATTGCTCGGGGGAAGGAAGTGATGTTGCCGGAAGTAAGTTTCGAGCAGTTCAGAGTGGGATCCCAGTTTTTCATCCTATCCAAAAGGCACGCATTGCTTGTGCTCAAAGAAAGAAAACTCTGGAGGAAATTCAGGCTCCCCTGTTTGGACATTGATTCATGCTACCCCGAGGAACATTATTTCCCGACCCTGTTATCAATGGCGGATCCTGAAGGGTGCAGCCACTATACCTTAACCAGAGTGAACTGGACCGACAGTGTGGGCGGACATCCCCACACCTACCACGCCCCGGAGGTGTCGCCGGAGCTCATACATAACTTGAGGGAATCAAATTCGCGTTACTCGTATTTCTTTGCTCGGAAATTCTCGCGGGATACCTTGGCGCCGTTGATGAAGATCGCCGACAGTGTCATTTTCAGAGATTGAACTTAATTTGGGTAAATTAATGGCTATTTATATTCACTTATTATGGGCGTGTTTGTTAGGTTTAAGATTAGTGTATGAGCTAGGGAAACTAGGAAGAATATTTAGATTGTAAGTAATACTTTCAATAATTAAAATTTTGATATTTTAAGTTAACAATTTTAAATTTAAATTTTAGGTGAAGTGAAAAGGAATTAAAAAAAAAAAATCCTCATCTTATATAATTCATTTAGATGTAAAAAAAAAATCAAAATCAAAATTAAGAATCCATCACTTGAATATTTATTCCAAACACCTGTTTGTGAGTATTTTAGTTGTCTTGTTTTCTTAGTTTCCGTAATTATAGTAAACTATTAAAATCAGGAGAATGACTTGACAACCATTACCATAATTAATTTGGAGTTTGTCCTCCAAATTCTTGTTTAGGTGTTACATTTCAAACCGGTTTTAATTCATAAATAAAGTTGTACGTGTTAACATGATCAATTCTTTCAAACTGGTTTTAATTCATAAATAAAGTTGTTCGTGTTCACATGATCAATTCTAACAGATGGGATCTAGTAGAGTTTTTAATGACCCTTATGGACCCTTCTTTTCTTTTCTTTTCTTTTTTTTAATTAAATATTTCATGAATCTTTTTGAGATTGGATTGAAGCAAGTGGAAGGAGCAAAAATGACACAAATATATGTTGGTATGTGGGGGAAGGAAAAGCCAAAAAGCCCCAGGACCCAAGTCACCAAACAGTACCTTGTTTGGTTTCTTCTTTTGTACAAAGGAAAAAATATGACATATAGACCCAAACTTACACAGAATTTGCAATTTTGGACCTGAACTTCAATTACGCTCAATTAAGGTTCCAAACTATACAAAATTCTCAAATAAGGTCCCAACTGGATTGAAAACTAACTTCCCTCAAATCTCTGACAAACTCTGTTAATGTCCGTCACACTCCACCCAACTGGAATGCAACTAGAAAAAAATTATGTTGACATGTCATTTACCTTTGCCATGTGGATGCCATGTAAACATGATTTATGGCTCCACGAACAACTGAAACCCATTGGTGAGCCTTTTGGTCTTTCTGACCAAGGATTCCCATGAATTAGAGATAAATTTTAACATGCTTCATTCTTCATTCTCAAAATCGCAAGCACCATGTTGTTTGATTGAATTTAAATTAGATTAAATTAATTAATTACCTGGTCCGAATATGGCAGGGGGATTGCCCATAAGAGAGGGAGTTTTATCATTGGAGACAGTGGAGAGAGATGTAGTGGACTTCGAAATGGTGTCATTGTATTGTTTATTAACGGCATAGAAGAGTCCGAGCATGGGTAGAGTATCGGAGAGGCGTTGATCTCGATCTGCCTTGGGTGAGTCAAATTTGAAACCTAACTCGATACAGGCCTTTAGCTCATCAAGGTCCTCATCCATAACACTCTTGCTCCTCTGGTTCTTGTTGTTTCCTTTATGTCAAAGCCATGCTTTGTTGTGGAAGATGTTTGGTGACCAGGATCATTGCTTGTAGAGCAGATGCATGAGTGATGGTTGCCAAGATTGAGGTTTTTCATGTGACATGCTTGATAGTGAAAGTGGTGAGGGTGGTGGTAGAGACTTGGAAAGGGTCACGGGGACAGCCCTGAGATGGGGGGCATGCGGAGGTTTGGAGACCTCGTGCGCAGTGGTGGGGAGCTCTATGGCTACTTCTAAGTCTTTTTCTAAGAAGGGATGGGTTATAAGAGTGTGAGGTACCAAAAGGCCCACCGATGGGTTTCAGTTGTTTGTGGAGCTACATGGCATCCACATGGCAAAGACAATGACACGTCAACAAAATTCTTTTCCAGTTGCATTCCAGTTGGGTGGAGTGTTGCGGACATTAAAGGAGTTTGTAGGAGATTTGATGGAAGTTTGTTTTTCGTCCAATTGAGACCTTCTTTGAGAATTTCGTGTAGTTCAAAATCTTAATTGAGCGTAATTGAAGTTTGGGTCTAAAATTACGAATTCTGTGTAAGTTTGGGTCCATATGTCATATTTTTGCCCTGTACAAATGAATATATTCAGTTTTTATTTTTATTTTTTTTTAGTTTGGCTGTTAGAAGCGTAGTTGGGAAAATTAATGGACGGTGAGGGTAAAGCCATATAGTGGAGTGGAGAAAAGCATCTTGCTTTTCTTTCTCCTTTTTTTTTTTTCTCCTTCTTCTATTTTTTTTTTTCTTTTAATCCCCCATATGATGTGATCCTTCCACTGTGCTTCTTCCAGTGTATTTTTTTTAATGGTAGGTTTTCCTGTACTCTGCCACAGCTTGGAGAAATGAGATCTTGTTCACTTTTATTTCCTTGTATGTATTATTTTCATCATCTGCATATTGTAAAGTAGTTAAATATGGATGGATGAGTGAGCATTAAGTAAAGTGTAGGATTAGGCTGTGCCAGATTACATTTTATTCTTATATATATATTATTTAACTTATCTTGTCTTCTTCTACTTCTTCTTCTTCTTTTTAATTCTATATATCTTGTTTGTTTAAATTTTGAAGATTACTTACACCTGAATCTGGTGGTGGTTCGATAGTTTTATGTCATATTGAAGGGTTTGAATCCTTTTACTCTTAATGTAATCTATTAAAAAAAAGTAATATTACTTTATTTACTTTTTTAAAATAAAGAGATTTTTTATTTATGATATGATTTTTTTTTAGATGACATAGTAATTAGATCTTTTATTATTTTTGTCTTTACCTTAAAAGGGTAGTCCGCACGGCCAAAATTGTCATCATCTCATGACATAAATCTAACTTTTCTTTTTTTTTTTTTCTTTGAATAATCTACGATTTAAAGGGTTGGGAGAAGGAAAATTTTCAAAGTATTGATAAAACTTAAAATCTTGATCAACTAACAATGTGAAGGATTGAGGAAAAGAAAACCCTGATCAATTAACCCAAGTGTTTTAAAGTTTAGAAACGAACTACTTGAGTCCGAATGCTCGGTTCAAATCTAACACTTCTTTACAATTGTAGTGTAATAGTAATAGACTAAAAGGTAGGAACTAGGAAGGATATTGATGTAAAGAACAGATCGAAAAAGGATATTAGAGTATTGGTAGTTGTACTTAACAAACTTTTTTCATTATTATAGTTAAGTAATTAGTATTAACTAAGCCTTAATGCTGATATCATATAATCTCAACCGCTAGAATTAAAAAGACTAATCAGACCATGACAATGAGTCAAAGGCTGAATGTAACAACAAAAGAAATTGAGGGGCTGATTTTTTACAACAATACAACTTCACGGGGCTAATTTGCACGAGTTGCCTTAAAATTAATATCATTAACTTGAAATTTTGATCAAAATGCTTAGATTTTTTTTTTATCTTAATTGTACAATAAGAAATAATTATTTCCATCTCTTATTTCACTGCATTCGTATATTATACAATTTGAACTCAAGACCTTTTACTTCCGATTGAAAGAAATGACCGTTAAATTATTTAGAATGTTGACAAAATATCTAAATTTTGTTCCTAAAAATTTAGGCTTTTGACCTTCAATACAACTATCATTAATAACAATTAATGGTATAAATGAAACAAAATTAATTAATGAGGATTTATTTATTTGTCTAAATTAATAGTGTATTTATTGTATTTTTTATTATTAATTTATATAAAAAATTATGAAAAAAAATAATATTCAACATTATTATCATATGAAATATTTTAATTATATAATTAATAAATTTTTTATATACAAATTAAAAATGTATTTATTATACAATTTTACTGCCAAAAAATAAAGTTGACAAAAGAGTCTAATAATCAACTTAAAAATCAGTTTTTTTATAATTTTTTTTAAAAAATTAAAAAGTTACAGTAAAACTATTGAAATTGAAGGAAGGAATTACTTCCTCTTAAAATAGCATTAATAGAATAGAAAAACACAAGAAGAACTTATCAACGAAGACTTTTCGAACATTTTCGTTTTAATAATCTTCCATTCATTAACTTTTCTTTCAATTGGCGCATGGAAAGATTTTCCTTTAGTAAGAAATAAGCATTGTGTGCACAAATCAGATACGAAGAAAGTGAAGCATCAATATATATATATATATATATATATATGAAGAAAGTGACTGATAGGCGGTGGGGACTGTGAAAGAAGCAGTATTTCTTGGCGAAGATCAGAGGTGAAGCCACACATACCCATTTTCTCTGTCCTCTTCTTCATTCTCTTTGCCTGCAGAAGAAGGTAAGCTCGTGATAAAACAGTTGAATTTAAGATTTTTTCTTCCAAAGATTTGATTTTGGTTCTTGGGTTTTCCTTAATCGAGGTTCACGCTATGTTTCTGTTGTTTTTGGAGGAAAAATAGTTTTTTGGTAGATATTATTGGGTTTATGGTGGTTGGTTTTTCTTAGTTTTAATCTCTTTAGGTGTCACTGTTGCATTAATAATAATAATAATAATTATTATTATTATTTTATTTTTTGAATTTGTTTCCATTTTATAGGTAAATGTAGCTTGAATAAAGCTGATGGGTTCTCTTATTTTCGATAGGTTCTTATATTAATTTCATTTTTCTTTCCATTTATCTGCCTAGAAAGTGACTGAAAGAGATTGGGAAAAGGCGTTGGATTCTCATATTTCATGTTTGTTATGGTTTTTGTTCCTGAAGACTTTCTTTTTTTTAATTTTCTTGCTTCTCTTAATTCTTGAATCAAATGGTAACTTTACCAAAGGGTTCTACTTCTGCAGAATCTCATTCTGTTTCCTTGATACGTGTTATGATTGGTAAGCTAATCTTTTTGAAATTTATATCTGTGTCTGCAACAATAAATCCTGCACAAAGGTTAAACATACTTTTTGGGGCATTTTTATTAACAAAGAGGCACCTTTTTCTCTGAGTTGAGTTTCTGTGAAAAGGAGTTTTGTGTAATGAAAGATATGCCCTTAATTCATATGCTTTTCATTTTCAAAATTATATTTTGTAAAACTATTTTATTTTTGAAACGTCAAAGTAGGTCAGGATGATTGCACAAATATGTCGTTAGGCTACTCAATAGATGAAGATGTGTTGCTTTATGTTCTAATGAAAAATTACAAGAATGCTTATAAGCAATTGATATCAATGAGAAGCTTAAGTTTTTTGGATTTTTTTTTTTTTGGCCAAAAGAAGCTTATATTCACCCTGTTAAATTTTCAGTTTCACCATGTCAAGGGATGCTCAACTCCCACCTCGTGGACCTTTCCAGAAGAAGCTCAGTTCTCAATCGAATCATAAAACCATTTCTCCTCCCTTCCATACTGAATCTTACATGGAATACCCACAGCACCATAAGTCTTTCTCCCAAAGCTCAATCCTAGAAGAGAACCCTGCTTGGCTGGATGGTCTGTTAAAAGACCCTGATGCAAAGTCCAGTGGCATATCTCTTCGTCGGTCAGCAAGTGATTCCCTTACCTTTCTGAATGATCTCATGGATTCATTTCCAGTCCTCACCCTACATGATGATCAAGAGGATTCCATTGATTGTGAAACTGGCACTGGCTTGGAATCTGCGTGTATGTATGGTCCCAACTCCCCTAGGAAGAAAGGCCACCTAATCTATTCAGGAAATGCCTTAGTTTCAGCCTTATCAGAAAGCATTTCTCAGGACCCTTGGCAGCATGTTGATGGTAATCCTACCTTTCATGGGATTACTTGTTCAAATTCAAAAGTTGATGGTAGTGTTCCAGTTGGTGACCACACTGCTGAAACAAAGACAGCAAAGCGGTCAGAACATATTTAATATTTTAATTTATTTATCACAATGTGACTTTCAGTGATGTATTTATGTTATCAATAGTGATTTTCTGCTTCATTTGTTCTCTGTGGCTCTTATGGTTAGGTGATGACTGAGAAGGATCCTCCAATGGAAAACTCTTTATTTTTTGTGTATGTGTGTGTGCTCAACTAATCCTGCTGATCCATGCCTTTTGATATTGCTGGAAATTTCACAAGCTGTATCATGCTAATCATTTCTGAAGATTTTGGTTTATGTCTTGCTTGTGAACTCCTGGTTCATGGTTTTTCATGCTTGCTTATGCATCTTTGCATGTGTGAATTTTACAGCCGCTCAGGACAGCACTCTAGGGTCCGTAAACTCCAGTACATTGCTGAACTGGAAAGAACTGTTAACAGTCTGCAGGTGATTCTTCCGCTGATATTGTAGTCTGCTCCTTCAATGAGTACTATGTTCAGAATCTTGTCTTTATTATGTCTTTTAATTTTAGGCTGCCTTTAATATGATCTTTGGTATAACCTTTGAAGCTTCTAAGATATAGTTAAAATGTAAGTAATCCACAGTGAATGAGATAGACGTTTGGATCCATTAACAACAGGGTATCTGTACTCTGTATTCCAAAACAAGTATTTTCGTATTTGAAAAAATGTAATATATTATAGAAGCATGCTAGTTGTTTGAGCTGAATGGTATTTCTATATGTTGCCTCTGACTTGGACCTTTTGAAAAAATGTTCTCTATTTTGAAAATATGTACTATTATTATTGCAAAAAAGGAAGCTGGAATTTTATGTGCACTAAATCTTGTTTTACAGACTTTTATATCAGAGCTGGCCACCAGGGTAAGTTCTCTGCATCAGCGCTGTGTTACTTTATCCATGGAGAATGGTGAGTTACAGAATCAGCTGGTGACGCTGCAGCAGGAAAAACTGATGCTAGAGGGTGAGCTACCTCTTCCATCGATAATTATCTTGGATTCTAGAAACAAAATGGTTACGTTGCTCCTAGAAGTCCAATTCATTAGTTCCCTTCATTATTTCCTGGTGAAAAAAGAATTTATAATGGCAGTCTCTTTCTATTTTCCTTACCTAAGTTGAGTTGTGTTCCTCCTCTGTACCAGGGCAACACCAGTTGCTGAAGAAGGAAGCTGAGAGACTGAGCATTCGACTAGTGAATTCTCCTAATTACGAACTCGAAGCATGTTTTGAACCTAGTGCTTCTACTCGGCCTGCTGTATCGGAATTTACTTGGCAGATGTTAGATATGTCAAAACTCGATCTTACTTGAGATGGACAATATCTGAAGGATCAAGGATGGGTTTGTGTTGCAGCTGTAAATGTCATGATCTACAGGTTTGTTCCTCCCCAATTTTATGAAGGGACACTTCCTTCACTTTAGACCGTAAACGTGAAAACCTTTTTCCAGATAACATGCTTTGTAGGAAGGGTAGTGAAGTGAATAAATAAAAAGTAGATACGGAAAAGTGAAAGGAAGCAAAAAATGTAGTCACAATTTTAGTGAGGTTTATTGACAATGAAATTACTTCTATTGTGCTTCAATATTTTTTTCTTTTACTGTAAGAAACATGGTTAGTAAATTAGTATCTGTTCAAGAATCAGTTGAGAAATTAACCTAATGATCATGTGTTGTACTTCACATTGCTTTTCACACGGAGAAACGTGGCCCCAAGATGAGGGAGTGCCTATTGTGCATCAATATTGATATTGTCGAGGAATGAACATTTTCATTTCAGTCTGCCATAACAATGAATCACCAGAAATATTAAGGAAAAAAAAGGAATATTATGTTTAACATCAGCAATAAGGAGTTGCCATGTCAATAACAGCATTAGATGTCCTCTCATTTCCAATGCACCAACTGTGAGGTTCAATTTGACGTTGACCCTTCAACATTTGCATGAATGTTCCCATTGACACAGTTCTCATCCTCTTCACAAAATGTGTTCGCAGAAAGCTTACTACAAACCCAGCCCCTAAAATCAAATTAAATCACATGATCAATAGAAGTGAACTCAGCGCAATATTGTTTACAAGGGCTTGCTCCATACAGCTTCCTTGCTTTTAATAGATGCAGTAATAATGCACAAGATGATCACAAGTTCATTTCCAAACTGAGAAGGGATGCTTCATGAACAATCGGTAGACCAAATTCATCTCAGTTTGTCTCACCAAATATGAAGCGATGTATGAAAACCAGAGTCAAACAAAAACGACAAGTCCATACAGCAGAATGAAAATAAAGAATACAAGATAATGCATTTACCCAAGCGTTGGATCAGCTGGCTGGTGCAGCATGTCCTGTAAGTGCTGAAGGAATCTTGCTTCCAGAGCATCAAGTTCTGCATCCCAGAGTTAGTTAGCACAAAAGGTCTAATTAGCAAGGAACATTTTGATACCCATCAAGTGCATTAAGGTCACCAAAACCTGCAGATCTTTCAAAGGTGAAATCAATGTTCTGCAGCTTTTCCACATGGATTAACCATAATTTTTCAAATATTAGTTATTATCATAACAAAGTTCTTGATCATTTCAGGTCTTTACTTTGACCAAACTCAAAAACTCAAGAGCAGTCATATCCAGATGTAATCCAGCAAATAATGATGGATGACAATCTTGAGCTTTTTAATAATTTGAAGCTTACCATCCATGAGTTCTTCTTCATCCTTGTCATCTGGTACATTACAACTTCTCCTTAAGAACTCTTGAATATCATTACCTACATTCATCAGGTCCATCATCTTATTCTCATCTTGCAAGTTCTATAGATAAGATGAATCATGTGCCACCAGAAGTTATCTTTACAAGCAACACTTCAAGAAATTACAAACTACCCCTCTCTTTAATCTTCAAAGTTTTCTTTGATCACTCGTATCAGCTCCTTGTTGATTAACTCCAAAGCTGACATCTGGCAGAGGCATTAGAATGTTAGAATTTTTAACAAGGACGAAGTTTTGATCAATATTTCACCCAGTAAGAATCACTCAGGGCCAAATCTATGCCTAAATGATTACAATAGGAAAATTAGAGTTTATGACATAGCTTAACCATTGATCACAATTTGTACAGCATCTACACCTGGAAAAAGATGACTTCCACTTGCTCAGTGACAAAGCTTGCCTTCTTCATGCTTGCAATGTATTAGTGATTCACGTTTTTGTGATCTTTGATATGTTTATGGGTGGGAGTACCCCTTTTACTCTGGTTATAAAAAGGTTTTGCTGTTCCTTAAAAAAGAAAAAATTGTATTAGTGATTCAGTTTTTTTGGCCGGACATTAATGATTCAGCTGCAATATAATGATAAAATGAAAAAGTGTCCTTGGAGTATGTCTAGTCCATTTTGCAAAAGCCATGAATAAATCAAATAGAACTGATATTTACTTACCTTGAAACAGTGGATGGAACATTGATACAGGTATATCTGCTTGCTTGAGTCACTAGAGTTGCTATCATCGACACTGTGCTCTCTTGGCCTTCAAGATACAATGATGCAGTGTTGACATGGTAAGTGAACTACACTGAATTCCCTGACTTGACATTTCATTAACCAGGGTAACTGCCTTTTCTACATTTCCTCTTCTACAGTAGCCACATAGGAGAGCTGTATATGTCAGATTATCTGGTTCCAAACCTCTTTCAATCATTTCATCAAATATTCTGATGGCATCATCAATGCTATTTGTCTTACAGTGGTGGTCTAGCAAAACAGTGTAGCAAACAACATCAGGTTGTATACCATTGTCCTCCATTTCACTCCAAAGGGCAGAAGCACCCATCATCTTATCTTTGGTTTGGATCAGATGTGGCCTAGAACGAGACTTCAGATTCGTTTTTGTATGGCCATCAACTAGAACTGTGTATGTAATAATATCGGGCTTAATCCCTCTATTCTTCATATCATTGAAAAGATCCCATGCTTTTGACAAACAATTTGTCTTACAGTAGCCGTTCATCATCATAGTGTAGGTAATCAGATCAGGAGTTAACCTCCTCTTAAGCATAATCTCAAATAATGACTGTGCCCTTCTCATATCTCCTGCATGACAAAAAGCACCAATGAGTTTACCTATGCACGGGTCAAGTAAGGTCAAATTTTAGAGAGTACGTTGTCATAAGTAACGTAAAGGTTTTGTCATTTTCACCTTGCTTACAAAGTTTGCCAAGCAGTTTTGTGCAAGTGCCCTTTCTGAGTGGAAATCCCTTTTTAGCCAGTCTATACAATAAGTCATAAGCCTTCTTTATGAGGCATGCTTCACAATAACCATTAACCAGAGCAATATAGTTTTCCAAGAACTTCTCTTCCAAATTATCTAAACACTTCTCTTTCATATTATTTAAAAACTCTTCAGCCTCCTTCACCTTGCCTGCTATGCACAAGCCTTCTATGATCATGTTATGCATCACATTATTAGGTTTCAAACCCTCTACCTCAATATAATTTAAAAGACCAACTGCTTCTTTTGCAAGGCCCTTTCTAGCTAAGCCACCAGCAAGTACGCTATATGTAATAATATCAGGTTTATGGCCCTTCTCCTTCATTTCCTCAAACAAGTTCAAGGCATCCTCAATTTTTCCTTGAAGACAGCACCCATGGATCAAAGTAGTATAGTTAATAACATCAGGAGACATATTTTTGCTCTTCATCTCATTAAGCAATTTCAAAGCTTCTTCCACTTTTCCAAGCTTGCACAAAGCATCTGCCACTACATTATAACAAACCTCATCAAGGTAAATGCCACTGTCCCTAAACTCCTTAAACACATTCACAGCTTCAAAAACCAGGTCCAGTTGGCACAAACTTTGAACAATTGAGCTCAAAATGATACAATTTGTTTTGACACCCTTTGATACCATTTCATCATGGAGAGCCAGAGCTTTAACTACATTTCCATTCTTGCAATGACTTCTTATCAAGGCACCATAGGCATACACATCTGGGAGAACTCCTTGATTTTCCATGTCAAGTAAGACATCTTCAGCTTCTTTCAATTTACCTTCATTACAAAACCCCTGAATCACAATTGCAAAAGCAAAGTTATCCAGTGGAATATTTGATTCTCTCCAAGCTCTGAGTACTCTATAACCCAAATCTGTTTTGCCATCAATGCAAAGTCCTTCAATATAAGCACTGTAAGTGAAGGTATTAGGTGTAACCCTTTCATTATCCATCTCTTGGAAAACATTGAAAGCTTCCTCAAACTTACCCTTCTTGCAGTGTGCCTTTATTAGAATACCATAGGTATAATCATTTGCCTTGAAACCATGCCCTTTCAGTTGTTGATATATAGCCACAGCCATTTCCACTTTCCCACACTGAACGAGTCGATTCATAAGAAAATTGCATGACAATATATTTGGAACAAATCCATGTGGTTTAGTCTGGAACAAAATAGCAATAACCTCATCAAACATTCCAGCACAAACATAGACCTTAACCAAGGCATTAGAAAACTGAACCAAAAGATTTGAGCCCCGTCCTTGATGCCCCTCAACAAGAACGTCAAACAAATCCATAATATCAAAACCCAAGCAGCTGTCTTTCCTAATAATCTCCAAAAGCATTGAATCCAACTTCCTCTCCCAACCCCAGCAACACAATATTTTTATAATAGCCGCATAGGTATAAACATCATGGCAATACCCATTTTGTTTTAATTGACAAAAGAACAACAAAGCTGTGTGAGGTTGTTTTCTCAAATTGTTCAAAGTTTCCACAACCTTAATTCTATCCAATTCAAGGGACTGGTGACAAAGGTAATCCGCATTATGGGAACTCACAATTCCTTGTTCAGAAGCAGAGACAGATGAAATGGGATTCAATTGGGCAACAGCGGAAACAGAGTAGAACCTGCTTGGGTTAATAAGTCCAACAAATTTTCTACAGCAGAGTAGCCTAACGGCTGAAACCCACATGGAGAAGAAGAAAACAGTGCAACCGTAAACTAACCAAACGCTGAGAAAAAGTGAAAGGAAAGGAGAAAAGCTTACTGGGCTGTGCTGTGTTGAACATCGAAGTTAGCTAAAGAGAGGTACACAAACTACCTTGAAACTCATGGAATATGAGTTCACTGTAACAAGTGTTAGCGGCTTTTCTTGCTTGCTTCTGGTAAGACCTAAAACCCTTGCTTAAACCCAACAGGGAAAGGGACCGCCGCCGTGCCGTCGCGCCGGTTCTCACTTCCCCCGTCTCCATTTTATTTTCCCTTTTCTATTTTTTATTTTGGGAAAACGGAAATTCAGTCAGAATTAATAATTTAATATAAACGACGCCGTCTTGATAAAATATGGGTACCCATCAGCTCCGTTATCCACTTTTTGTAAGGAAATGATAGATGTACGTACGCCGTGGTGGCGGAGGAGACAGGCTGACGAGATGGAAGGAAGCCGACGTGGCAGTCGAAGATAACGTGTTTTCTTTTTTTGATTTGGTGGAGTTTTGGGAACAAAGCAAAACGACGCGCATAATAGGGTCGGATTGGTACAAAGTACAAACTGGCTAAGAGCTTATTTGGTGTGGCCGGAGCTTTTAATAGAAGTTCTGTTAGATGGAATCTGTTGTGGAAGGACTGTTTTTGAGAAGTTAAAAGTGTTCGGTAAAATTTTTTTATAAAAGTACTTGTAACGTAAAAAGTTGTTTGGTAAATTTTTTTATAAAAGATCTTTTAATATTAAAATGACTGAAATAGACATTGTTTATTTTTTTATCATTCTAATTTTTCTTTTTATATATTTTTATATAATTTTAAATTTATAATTAATTTAAA